AAACCATATATTTTCTAACACGTCTATAATCAATCCATCAAGAAACTATATTTTTTAATATATATTTAACAATGTAAAATTGTGTATAATCAATAAACATAGTATTTTGACAATCCTACAAAGCTATACCTAAGATTCCCAAGCTTAATTGGGAAAAGGGGAGATTTAAACCAATTACTAATTCAAAGAAAGATTTTTTTTTTTTTAAGAGAAAAAATTGAGTTTGTAGAAGAGGAAAATGTGGTTTGGTATGAAAAAAATTAAAGAAAGGAAGAAGAGGTTTTGTTAGAGGAGATTAGCTAACTAGAAAATGAGAAGGTAAAGTGAGAGCAGGTAGGGTGCTACAGGGAGTTCATGGTAGAGAGGAATTGGAGACATTTTATAAAGAAATGTTCTCCTCCTACTCTCTATTTTCTTCACGACGGGAGGATATTAATGAGCTGGTTTTTGGGTAGGATGATTGCATAATTAAAATCTCATTAGCTTCTTCTTCTTCTTCTTCTTCTTTAGACATGATAATTAAACTCAAACAAACTTAGTGTTTCATGTTTTCAGTCGAAATGGATACTGATAGTAATAGGTTACAGATTCATTATGAATTTGAAAAGGCAAAACCCTCAAATCGTCCCTTAAAAAATATGAGTAAGGACGGATCCACCCATCAAAAAAATGAAGGGACATTTGGCCCCTCAAAATTATCAACTGACCTAAATCACCCATTATTTAACTGCTGATGTCATCACCATCACAATCTCCGTTTACTCTATGCCAACGTGTTATTTTTTTATATGTTGGAAGCTATGTGTACCATCCCATTATTTTTTTTTATAGTGTGTCATTCCTTTTTCATTTCATAGACCCCAACCTAATCCCAATTCATCAACTTCCTTTAGAAACCCTAATTTCCATCACTTCAATGCCAAAATCGCTGAGTTCCATCTCTGATACTTCCCCAAAGGAAGATGTTGCCATGTGTCTCATGATGCTTTCAAGGGATGTTTGGAAGGTCAAAGGAGTTAAGATGGAGACGCTAAAGGAGGAGGAGGAGGAGGAAGAAGAAGAAGAAGAAGAAGACCTAGAAGCAGCAGAGATCAAGTTGCGCAAGAATCGTTGGACGTATCGGTGTGAGAAATGCGACATGTCGTTTCGATCTCCCACCGCATTGGGCGAACACAAGAGGATTTGCTCCGACCAAGTTAAGAAGTTGACATTCCAATGCCTGTTATGTGACAAAGTGTTCAGGTTGGGCCAAGCCCTTGGTGGATACAAGAGATCTCACATGCTTCCATCAAACCCAGCAATTGCAACTACAACTTCAACCCAGCTGGAAAAGTCTCCGATCGATCTAAATTTACTAGCTCCGATGGAAGATGATGAGTTCAGCGTGGTTTCTGACGCATAAATGAAACATTCCCACCAAGCATTTATGAAATTCACATGGATCTGGAGCTGGGTTTTTTATTTTTCAACTGAATTTTACTATAGCCACTAAAAGTTTTATCATTTTGTAGATTGAATTAAATTGCGTTTCATTGCAACTGACTTTAATAGTTCATTGCCTTGCTTGAAGAATTCTTATTTTTTTAGGAAACCGTTTTCCAATCTCTGTTTGGGAAGATGAAGATTGTAATTGGTTTCATGTGTAAATCATGTCAGAGGAAAAAGCATTTTTTGGGTGGTTTGTTTTTCCCTACTTATGGACCATGGAGCATTGAAGTCTACAAGCACCAAAGTGGTTCAATATTGGTTATGCGTCCTTTCTTCTTTGATGAATTGGGATTAGGGTTTCTAAGGAAGTTGATGAATTGGGATTAGTTTGGGGTCCATAAAATGAAAAGGGGGTGACATGGTGTAAGAAAAAAATGAGAGGATGGTACACATCAACCTCCAACATGTAAAAAAATGACATGCTAGCATGGGCTAAATGGAAACTGTGACAATGATGACATCAGCAGTTAAATAATGGGTGATTTGGGTCAATCGATAATTTTGAGAGGCCAAATGTCCTTTTATTTTTTTGAGGGGTGGATTCATCCTTACCTATATTTTTGAAGGGTGATTTGAGGGTTCTGCCATTTGAAAATACATTTTTGTCACCGAATTACGCAATATTCATAGAATTGGATTGAGGGTTTGCAATATAGATCTCATTCAATATATTTATTTTTA